TTCCTCGTTCGCAAAATGTCTGGTCTTTGCTATTAAAAAACTGAATTAGGTGTGATCCGACATCATCCGCGTTGTTAAAAATTTTACCATTTAAAGAGTTTTGCATGGAACGAAACAAATGGTAATCCGAAGGCGCAAGGTCAGGGCTATATGGTGGGTGTGACAAAACATCCCAACCTAGTTCCAATAATTTTTGCCGNGGTCTAAAGCACCACTAGTCTATGAGCATTTAGTTGTGAATTTATTTAGTGCCCATCTTTCGTCTATTCGACTTTTCCATAAGTCTTTATATTTAATCTCTTGGAGTGGAGTCTACTAACCGGCAGTTGATTTCTCACTGCCATATTCGACTACTTCCGCAGTACTCACCTCACCTTTTTTCTACTTTTTTGTCTGTCTCTTTTACATCTTTGAAACATTCTTCTCTTCCCTCTCCCTCCCCCCTCTCTCGACTTTTTTCACTTTGATGATCCTTCCCCTCTGTGGAGCCTGAAGTCAACTTAAGGGCCAATGATAACTATCAAAACGCCTGCCATTTGATATAAATAAATCTCTTGGAGTGGACAATGTGGGCATCACATGATGAGTCATAGGTATGTTTGGCCAAAACACGGTCACGGAAAAAACACGCATCAGAGACAAAACTAGACTGCCCCTCAAAGCGCACCTCATTTCGCCCCCCATACTCTCAAGGTCAATTTCTTGCGCACAGTTTAGACATGCAACCTAGCCTTGCTTCCTACAGCCCCCTCTCTCTCCTCTGTCATCGTTCAGTGCACCACAAATTCACTTTAACTCACTTCCTTCTAATTTGGGAAAGATTGGTGTATCCTATGTCCCTTTAGGATCAGTCGATTTTCAGTGGACTACTTCCAAACTTAACTCGGTCAGGTAATAAATTTACTTTACTGGGGTTGACGCAACTTTCATAGTTCTCTTTCTACTGATTATCTCACTCTCCTGACTACGGAAATCGGATGCACACTGGCGGTTCTGTTTACATGCTCAAGGTCATTTCTTAAACATGTGGAAACGTGTAATTTGGTGTTGTATCTATTACTCTACGGCATACTACTGTATGAATATTGGTGTTTGTGTGGGGTATTGGAATAAAGGAACATACCATATACCTGGATCCTATGTAATAGCTCCCATTTCCCTAATATTCGAAGATCGTTGTTTTACCCTCCACCTGGATTCGATCTTCCTGTGATTATTTATTACCATAATGTACTTCCGTGGACAGTCTAGTTTATGCAATCAGTAGTTGTTGGGCTTAAAGGGACAACAATAATTGGTGGCACCATCACCGTTTTTATTAAGAAGAGGTTCAAATTCACGGCATCGAATCTATAGACCTTCTGAGATACTCCTGAACTTACTTTTGCGCTTCATTTTCAATTGGAAGTTTGTTAAAAATAGCCCAAGTAGTGGCACCAAAGAAGTGATTCCATTCACGTCTAATTGAAACAAGAATGTTCTTTTATTACGAGGTGCTTAGAGTCAAGTCTAACTGTAGGCAGCATGTGTTTGTTTCACGTAAAAATATCACATTCTTCTCTTAAACCAAAGTACATCTTGTTTACGGTTACGAACCAAATGGCCTGCTATTTTCCTTGTGCTATTAATGACGGCTTTTATTACTTCCTTAATGGCAGAATCTGATTTGGGTCCATCAAAGTTTGTTGGCGCTTTTGCAATAATCATGGCTGCTACATTTATCCCTTCCATGCGTATTGCTATCATTGAGTTATTACTGGTAGTGCAGGCCTTTCTATTCAGGTTAGAAAAATGGACAATTATCCGAAAATTCCGCGTCTTCACTCGAGCATATCAAGTCGCATCTGCAGAGTGCTTGAAAAATCATCTCTCAACCGCATCAGTTCAAGAAATTCCAGCATCTAGTTCTGACACGTTTAAATAATTCCTTGAGGCCATCACTAAGTTACAAATAAATCGAGGTGCCGTTGGCCAACCACGGAGTTAAACCTTCGAATTTTAACAGATTGACATTTCACATTTACGCATACCTCTTATGGGAATTCTGACAAGTATAATTATAAGTGTTAGGATTGCATTACTTCCCCCGTTTTGTGTGTTTGCTGTTCTCCTTTTTCCAACGCCTACATATGATCGAAAAAAATTCTGGCCACAGCTAAAGACGATATCATATTAAAACTTTTAGCCTCTCTTAATTCTATAGCCAGTTAATAAGCACCGGGCCTTGTAGACAAGCCTTTACTCCAAGTCAGTGTACGAATTATGCAATTCCAATTTTGAACGTGACCTCTGTATATCTTGTAAATACTGTCAACCCAAAAGTGGAACTCAAATGAAGTAGGATGCCATGATGTTGACTTCAACACTTTTATCATCAGTTGGCCTTCTCGCTGTTAAAAATAGCAATTTTTTGCAATGGTACTAAACGTTATATTAATACCAAAATGGCCAAGCAATATTGTCCATTTGTGCATTTTTCCAGGTATGGCCCTTGTACATAGTGATATACATGGGTGTATTTGCTCTTCTAATAAAATTAATCATTAGACCTTGTAGTGCTAATAAAACCAGGCGTCAGATATCGTTAAAATTACTAGGCTTTAAAAAGTCTCTATGTCATGATCAACGCAATCTAAATCACGTTTGCCTCATGTTTTCCCAGTTTAATGCTAACAGTAGTTTTTGTTTTTATCGAAATCACTATGGCAACTTCGCTTGATACTCTAGGTCGAATGTGCATGTTTCTAGGGCTTAGGTGATTAATTGTCAATAGGGGGGGGGATATTGGGAGCAAAAGAACAACATACCTGAATGAGCGTATCTAGTGAAAATGGCATTAGGCAACTTTGTCTCAATTGTTTATCTGCTGCAATGAAATTCGTTCCTTTTCTGCTATCTTGATTTTTTTATTGCTTTCTACCTTGTTGCCTTAAACACTGTCACTTTTCACCTACGTTTTGAGATCTACTCACCCACTTGATTATATCTTAATTCAACTAATTATGCGGCCAATCCCACCTCTTTGCTTTTCTCTAATAAGATCGTTTACCCCCCTGACGGCCTCATTCCTGTCTTGAAATGACATCGATCACCCTCCAAACTAGTCTCTCCTAATGTGCATTCTGGATTTCAGTAAATTAACTGCCATAGAGGCGATAAGAATATGGTGGGTGTTATTTACCGATTTCATTCAATCCGTTAAATATATAAGAAAATGGGAGACTGTAGTTCGTTCTAATAACGTTTCGATCTTAAAAACTTCGGGCATCTCTTGAACCGAAGTTGCGATAAGGGATTATTCCTTTGATCTTATCGATCTGATTTATTTAAGGACGCAGTGTTTGATTGAAAGGCAGTTGGAAACAGGAACCAATGTTTTGTTTTTAAATCGCTTCGAGGCAAAACCGAGGTTGGAGGGGGGGGGGTTATTGAGTGATGATGCCGATCCTTTTTTCAAAGTACTTTTCTTAGATTTGCATCTCCTCTTACATTTCCGGAATTAGATTTACTCGTATCTGAGAGTGGAACCTTTTTTTCGTAGTACTAACAAAGCAGACGGCTAATCGATACGCATAACCCAAACTATATATATAAATGGCTTTTTTTCTTTTCTTAGGCTGACGAAAAGAAGTCGTCTTGATGAACAAAGATTTTCTTTAGTTCATCTAGGTATAAGCTACCGTGTCCCCTGCCATTATATCAATGATGGTACAACTTTTTACAAGCAGGTATGACTTCCCGTAGAATGAAAAAAGGATCGAAATCGCTTAGCGTAACACCACTGTGATGCCTTGAGCATAAGTTAAAGTGCTAATGTCCCAGTTGGACGTTGGATAGATGAGTACAATTAGCAATGCATGCTTTTTGAGATCAATGAGGGGTCACGAGTCAGAGTAGAAATTGGAGGAAAGATGATTCGTTGCAATCCTAGTGCATTGCATGAAGTTTGGAAAGCAATTATCACAATAAGACCAAGAATTTGCGACATTGCACAAATGATTTCTCTTATCATCTGATTTTAGTTATTTTAAAGCCCCTATGCCTTAATTGAAAACACTTTTGTGGCTATTACACCGTTGCGGAAGATTTATTCGAAAGTACTAAAGAGCGGGGGTATGGAATTAATCAGGGCGACAATTTGACAAATTTTTTTATCAAGTCAAGCCGCTGGGGCATGATATTTTTCTATGGCCTGGTGATTTGTGTTACCGACTCTGTTTTTTTCCCAGTGTGAAAGGAAATTTTTCAACTATTATACATACAAAAAGATACAAGTGCATGGGATGGAAAGGTAGCTCAGTTTTAGGGACCCACGTTCACCACTTTAGTGTTATTTTTTCGCCAGTTGGCAGAATATTTTTTGGATTTGGGGTGGTAAATCCACTTCAAATAGCCAGTATTTCCTCATTCAAAGTTCCATCACTTAGAGAGTCGGTAACAAGGAAATTCCACACATAATTAACCTTCACGCGCATTTCGATTGTAGATGATGTCCAGCACTTCAGTTCAACACTTCTTTTCAGTAATAATTGTGTTAAATTTCACCTTCTGTGAGTGCAGTTTTAGAGGTAGTTGGGATTTCTATAGCATGTTCTCTCAAAATCACCAATAGTATTCCATTATGGAACTGTGTACTACTTCAATTTGGACATTTATTTCTATTCAACTATTAGAATCTAACATACATCTCTGAGCAGCACTCTAAATAGCCCTCAACCTACCTTAAGATGCATAATTTCGGCTAATTCTTGCTGAACTGGTTCGATAGACCTTTCTACTAGTTTTGCTTGTGTTTTAACCAGAAGGGTTTTTGGCCCTTATTAAGCAAAAAGGCAATGGCTCTACTCAATGTTTTCCAACGAGTTGATCTGTCTTAACTTGTGATGACAACCAGTAGTGCTATTGTGTTAGCGCTTGTAAATAAGTTGTGAGCTGATCAACTTATTATTTCCTCTATTACCGTTGTCTTACAATCTTCATAATTCTGTCTTGTAGTATCCATGGCTGAGGGTCAACCTGAAGTGGATATTGCACTTCAAGTAAATCAAGTATCAATAACGGAAAATAAACGGGAGGTAAAATTGGAAGAACCGAAATTCCTGCGCGAATATGGTCGATTTGCATGTGACGACCAAAAAATACCCAATATCGAAATGGTAAATTCTTTGCTACTGATTTACTTAAGCAGGCATTTATTTAACTCTGGATTATATTTGCAGGATTCAGGCAATCGGACACGAGTTTACTTCGACCATTCATCAGACAAATATGCTTTGAAGACAGGCACCTTGTATTGTCTATATGGAATGCTGCATGCTGTTGAGTTGGCGCCCTTTCTCTCCCGTTATATTGAACAGAATCCAAATATAAGGTCGCCTCTCCTTGATTCATTAAACTTCACTATTCTTTTGAATAGTCAAGGTGACATTTAATCACTTTCCCTTCTGCAGATCTGTATTCATCGGATCAGCCGAAAGTTTAATCAATGGCGTTTGGAGTGAATGGAGTCAGCAATATTGGACGGTGAGAGAGAGAGATAGAGCTCATAATAGCCCTAAAATGAACTAATTAATCCGTTTGCCATTTTCAATCTTATTTAATAGCAGTCGACGGTTACATCTTGCACTCGAGTTTCTAATTGGCTCAAGTAGTTGATTGCATTTGCAAGTCTGCAGGCTAAAAAACAGGTTTTTAATTAATCCTCAGTAAAGCCAGATTTTACATTTTACTAGTATTTCTGAGTATTTGGGCTGCTTTTATCACTGGCTTCATAAATTTTAATAAAACTGTCTTCAAACGGGGTTTATTACCAGTCTATCCATTAAAAACTATGCACTAGAACTAGTTGCTTACTATTGACTCAACGCTTTTTTCTTAGTCCTAGATATTTAGCTTAGCTGAGTCATTAGCCATAGACCTAGTCATTTTTTAAGACTAATAGGCAAATATATATAGTGTGACTAAACCGTAACCGCCTATAAAAGATCTCCAGTCGTCTAAATGGGTTTATGTATGGAGTTCAATGGTACGAAGACGGTAATAGATTATTGCTCAAGAGCATGATTAGGTAGATGCAAAGATCGACCAAGAATCGTCGTACAAGTCGGCAGATTATTTAGTGGAATCTCGTGTAGTTTAGGAAGCTACCATTTTTTAATGAAGTGTGATACGGCTTTCAATTAAAGCATTGTATTTTGTGCGGTATTCTAGTGTTTTATCACTGTAAGAACTCATTGGTGATTCAACTATTTCAGTTCAAATCAGTGGTTCATATCTAAGCCATTTCTTGTATAAAGCATATACTTCTCTCCAACTTTTACTGAGCGTCTATTATTTACCTTCAGGCCCGTCGAAGTATGGTATTCGCTTCACATCTAACTGCCCTGGCAGATTCTTTTCGTCGCAAAAATCTCAATTCAGATGATGCATCAGATCAAACAACTCCACCACCGTCTTGGTTAAACCGACCCTGGCCTCAAAGTCCAGCTCTTGGGGGACCTTACTTTGGCATACATTGGCGACGCGGGGATTTCCCCCGATCACCATCCCCATACACAGCCGCCGTGCAGACTCTCCAAGCTATTAAACGATCGGCGAAGTACCTGGGACCTTTTGTCAATGAGTCTTCTTTATCCATTTATCTTGCTACTGATGCTAATGTAGAGGGTTAGTTTAGCCTCATTATTTTCTATTCTTGGGTTATTTGGTGATTTCAAAGAAAGCAGTTCTTTCTCCTATTTAGATTATGTTGAGTTTCAGAGACTAGTAACCCCTCATAAAGTATATCGATTTATCGACCAAAGTCTTCTTCCTGGAGAAGTTGCAATTATCGATCAATGGATCTGTGCTCATGCTCGGTGAGTATTGAATTACCTATTCTAAAGACACCATGTAGTAGTTAAGAGAGATAGCAAATCCTGTGTTTTGATTTTAGATTCTTCGTGGGTTCCGTCCCCTCTACTTTCACGTTCCGAATAGCAGAGGAGAGAGAGATCATAGGATTCCCGTCAGTTACCACCTTCAATAGTCTATGTGATGTTGATGGTTCAGAAGTTGTACTGAAGGACGACCCTGTGCATACGTCAACTTGTGAGGGTCTGGTACCCTGGACTATACATCTTGAGCCTCGTTACACAATCTTTGCGAGTCAAGTTAAACACGAGCTGTGAATATGAGCCGCCCATTTATACATATCACTTTGTTCAAGTTATTTATACCATTTGTACCTAATAGATTGCGTTGAAAACATCATTCATTTATTCATGCTCACTTACTTACTTTTCCATACATTCACCAGGAATTTTGTTATTTCCCTCTGAGTACTCAAGTTATACGGTTTAGAAAATTAATTCGATAACGACTTATAACTTTTACCATTGTACACAAAAACAAGTACGAGTCCACACAAAATAAGAAATTGGTTTAAAATTACGCTTTCAAGCATGTTAGGGATAGGAAACGCATGGTTTCCATATCCTTTGACGAATATCACAGGGTTCATTCCCTACAGATGCTCTTAACGACTAACCAAGGAGACAATTGCTTGCAATGAATCTGTTTATGAATGCGTAAACGTATTTTCCCAATAAAAGACTCGTCGTTGGAATTGAAGGTGTACTTCTTTCTGAGTATCAGTGA